CCTTTTGTGCTAGACAATTATTCCTCAACAGTGTCTGAGAATTATTATATTTTGAAGACGCGAGATTGTACATTCAAAGCATTCAAGTTAACGAAAGTAAAGTACAATATAAACATTCTTCAGAGAAATCTTTATTACCCGATAGTGCCTGTCACACGTGCATATAACTACAGATCACTTTCTCGTTCTCTTAACTTTTACAACTTTTACAAAACAACATATATACGTACGTGTGTGATTTTGGATACACCTTCCTTCTGAAAGATCTCCTCGGCATCAGCTCCCTGCCGTCAATATATATTTCACTATCACTATCATCTATCACGCGGCGATGGTCACGACTCTGCCACTGTCACTATCTATTTTTAGGTTAACGTTGTATTCCAGCATAGATCGCTCTTTCTTAACAGCTTCATGCGTCTGTGATTGAGAAAGAAATCTGATAAGCTCTGTATACCAGCTCAATATAAGCAACATATATACGAATATGTATATATATTTTAGATAAAAACGGTCAGTAAACTTTTATAAAACAGTACTCTTTGAAATAATACAAGCGATAATAATTTTTATAATTACCTCTCTATATATCTTAAATGTGCATGAATTTTCTTCTAACTATATTTGTAATGACATCAACTTTTCACGCTTGTTGAATATTTGTGCCATGAGCACCAACAGCTAATCCCATCAGATCTTCTCGAACATTAAATTCATCGGTATATCTAAAATAAGGCAAATTTTACATAATACAAAAACAATAATTATTACTTACATCTGCTTATATATAAAGTATATGATTACATAGATAAATCTGTATCAAAAATCTATAGTTACTGTAACGTATACCTTAGATTAGATTTGTACGAGCAAGCAATATAACTAACCTCGCGAGACACCATGCGAGCAAACGTCATTGCGTTAAAAAATATTAATGTAAAATATAATTATCCACATACATTATATACAATAGTGGATTATATATAATAAAAAATCCTACTAACCTCGCAAAACACGCCACGCGAACACACGTCACATCACGCGATACACGTGCGAAACTCGCCAAACTCGCCGCGATCTCGATCGCCGTCGTCACTTCGATCCTTGCGTGACGCAACCAAAATTCGGAATTAAACGATCGTATTTAATGATGAGAGATCACATTAATAATAATATTAACCTCCTAACGACACGACGCGAACTGTCACAATACGATTGATCACGACGCACACGCACGAAATTCGCGGAACTCGCCGCGATCTCGATCACCCGGCTTCGACCGGCCAATCAGACACGCGGAAAAGCGACAACACTACGTGCGAGATATTCGACTCCAAACAACAACTTCTCGCGTCTCCATGGATTTTTTTATTATAGATTACATAAATAATTAATGTCCGTATTCAGATACCAAAATACACGATGTTGCAGAAACATTTCGTGAAGTTGTGCCAGAAACGTTCTTTTAGGAATGTTTCGGTGATACGTACGGAAACATCTCAGATTCATTACAAAAATTATTAATTTCCGTATTCAGATACCAAAACACACGATGTTGCAGAAACATCTTCTGATGTTGTGCCAGAAACGTTTTTTTAGGAATAATACTTATACGTTACTACGATTTGCTTTTGTAATGATTATTATAGTATCGCATAAATGTTTCAAAATATAAATTGATAATAATATTAATGTGATCCATTTATTTAATTATAATAATACGTACATATCTTCTAAAATACATATATTACTTAAAAAACACATGGTTTTTAAAGATTTATAATATTTCTATAATATATATTTAGAAACAATATAAGTATAAATGTAATGTAACAAAACGCTCATCATATTTGCAGATAAAGAAAAATAAAATATTTCGCAAAAACATATTAGAATTTTTTACGCTTTCTATATATAACATTTTTTATAAAAAAAAATCACTAATAGTTTTTAGCTTACTTGATAGAGTAAAATATGTTTATGTGTTATTTATCACATTTTTTCTCGCATTTTCACGAAGTAACCGCAAGTTTGCTTGTCTAAACCAAGTTTTTAGAATATCTTCAAATTCAGCTTCAGTAATAGATGGACAAGTCTTTTTTATTGAAGCTAAAAATATGAATATGAGAAAATTTATAACTTTATAATTTTCTTGTTAATAAAGTTATAGGAATTCGAAAGTAATATATGAAAACGCGCATAAACACACACGCACGTACATTCACGTACAACACACGCACACACATACACACACAAAATTTACCTTTCATGCAAATAATAATTTTCAATTCTTTTAGTTTAAAATTATTTTTAGCTCCAGTCCAAGAACACTTGGATGCAAGATTATTAGTGAATAATTTTTGCAGTGCTCTTTTCATTGCATCTTTTGTTGTTGTACCGCCTATCATAACTAACATATTAATCTAAAACAAAACATTTTTTACATATAATTTTTCTAGTACTAAATATATGTAATTGAAGAAAATTAATGATATACATGTACATACTAATTGTGATTGTGCTTCTGCTGATGCTAATATAATTTCAAAATTATCAATTTCTTCAATATTATTCATTGGTAATTGCGGAAGCATATCAATATTATTATGATTAACATTGACATTGTTTCTATTTTCCATTGTATTTAAACGTTCATCTATTCGCCTACACAATTCTTTTATTTCAATAACGTTTCGTAGTACGGAATCAAGAGTTTCATTATCTGTAACAAAAAATATGTACAATATTGTTTTAGTAGTACTCAATTATTCTCTTTCAACTATACTCTTTTCTTTAAAAAGAAAATGTAGCGTTAAAATAATGATTATATTTTTACTTAGATGATTATAGTTTTACTTATATTACATTAATTTTATGACAAACTTTCTCTAAAAGTCACATGTATTGTAATTTACATATGTTCATAATATTATTCCTTTAAAAGATAATATACATTTTTTGTTTTACTTATTCATAAAAATCTTATAGAAAATATAAACATAAACTTACTTCCTTCAATGACAACAGGAATATTATTTATATCAACAATATGATGTACGCCTGCACCACCAATATTTTCATTTACGTTAACATCATCATTTGCGTCAACATCATTTGCGGCAACATCATTTACATCAACATCATTTGCATCTGAAAATTCCGTTTTCTTTATGTAATTTATGTATTTCTTTTATAAATATATTATTTAGTCGGTCACTCATGGATACACATACACACGCACACACACAGAGAATGAGAGAGAAAGAGAGAGAGAGAGAGAGAGAGAGAGAGAGAGAGAGAGAGAGAGAGAGAGAGAGAGAGAGAAAGAGAGAGAGAGAGAGAGAGAGAGAGAGAGAGAGAGAGAGAGAGAGAGAGAGAGAGAGAGAGATAATTGATAATTGATATATATTTAATATGCCCAAGCAAGGCTAAAGGGCAAAACCAAATAACAAAGCAGTAATACATGCAAAATAAGCATAACAAACTACAGCACTTAAAACTACTTATAATTAACGCAACTTAAAACTAATCAAATTAACTTAGAACTTATCAAATCGCAACTAAGACTAGCGCACTTAAACTAAAAAGCACCACGCAGGCAAAACTAGACAAAACTAAAAGCAGAAAAAGAAATGACCCAATCACTCAGCTTCGGACGAATGCAAGAAGGTACTAAGAAGACTCTTGAAGGCAGGAAGGGAAGATGCTGATTTTATAACATCAGGAAGAGAATGCCAAAAGTATATTGACGAAAGCAGAAAAGAATTCCTGTATGCAGTAGTTCTATGAGCCGGAATGAGGAAACTTTGAGTGGCCAATGAAGCCAGACGGTTAGATCTTCTCAGTGACGGATCAGGAGCAGTGAATAGCTCCCGCAGATACATAGGCGAACTCATATAAAGAATACGATAAATCTGACATCCAAGAAAGTAGAGCCGCCTATTCTCAACAGTGAGCCACCCAAGTCGACGCCTATACGGAGTAATATGTTCATCATATTTTAGATTGAATATAAAGCGAATGCAGCTATTGACAAGACGTTGCAACTTGGTATTCAACTCACCACTCAGACCATGATACACTAGACAGCAGTAGTCAATGTGAGGCATGATGAGAGTGATCACGAGTTTTATTCTAAGACTGGTAGAAAAAGAATTTTTATTAAACTTTAAATTGTGCAACGCAAAGTTAACCCTTTGCGAGACAAGCGAGATATGTCTAGTCCAAGAAAGATTGGACGTAAACATCACACCTAAGTTTCTCACCTCACTCACAAATGGAAGAGAAGTGCCATCCACGATAATAGGAGATAAACAGCCATAATCAATAGCATGGACATAAGCTTGGCTGCCAAAAATGATGACCTTGGACTTAGCTGGGTTGAGCATAAGTCCGTTCCTGTTAGCATAATCAAAAATAGCATTGGCAACTCTCGACATCAACTCCAACGCCAGGGGGAGATCAGCAGGTGAGCACTGACGATAAATTTGAATATCATCCGCAAAAACCACATGGGACACATTAGAGAGTATATTACATATATCGTTAATAAACAATGAGAACAACAATGGGCCAAGCACAGAGCCCTGAGAAACGCCAGAAGAAGTGAAGATCCAATCTGAAAGATTGCCTGTATCATCAATAACAGATTGAGAACGCCCAGTTAGATAGGAGAAGATCCAATTAAGAACCGTATCAGAGAAGCCAATCTCCTTAAGTTTAATAAGCAGTAGCAAATGAGGGACCGTGTCAAACGCCTTACTGAAGTCAAACAATATCACTACAGTCAAGAGTCCAACGTCAATTCCCTGCCTAATGTCATTGCAAACGCGCAGGAGTGCAGACTGCGTGCTGTAACCCACACGATATGCAGATTGCCTAGGATTTAAGATATTATATCGGTTCAAGTACTCAACAATCTGCGAAGCCACTACTCTCTCAAGTAGTTTAGATAGCTCAGGTAGGTTCGCAATTGGTCTGGTATCAGATGGAGACAAAGGTGTGCGGATCTTGGAGAGAGGGCGAATATATGCTTTCTTCCACTTGGATGGAAACAAAGCAGAGTCCAGTGAGCGGTTAAACAAGGAAGTGACACAGGATAAAATAACCGGCCATGAAATACGGAGAGCATAAAAAGGAATACCATCGGAACCAGAGGCATGAGAGTGAATAGACTGGGTAGAAATAAACTTGTAAACAGATTGAGGAGAAATAGAAGAGAAAACAAACTCAGGACGATCAGAAGGACGATTTACGGAAGCAATGGCAGAAATGAAATCGGAATATAAGCAAGGAGGATGAGCATTGGAAACAGAGGAATAGTACGAGTTGAGTTGATTGGAAGTAAAGAAACGCAGAGGAGAAGTGTAAGATGACTTCGCAAGTCCAAGTCGCGCCAGTTCTCTCCAAAGTTTCGCCGGATTAGTAATGCTAACTAAAGACTTAAAGTAAAATTCACTCTTCGCATGTTTGATGTCAGCATTCAGCTGATTGCGGAAAAGTCTATACTCAGCATAGCCTAACAGGCAGTTGGTACGTTTAGCACGCTTATATAACCGGTTACGAGTGTGTAAACGATCGACCAGTTCACTAGTGAGCCATCCTACTGGAGGCTTCCTAACAATAAACTCACGCAAGGGAGCAAAGATGTCAAGTGCCCTCAATAAGTAATGAGACAGTACCTCACAAAATCCATCGACATCCGCATCACTAGACAGCCCCTCTATCGCGGCCCTCACCTCACCAGCTATTGATCCAAGAAATTCAGTGAACTCCGAACAATCTATGCGCCTATAATTACGCCGAGACATGACAAGATCGGATGTATGATTAGCATTAAGTGTTAAAGAAAGCGCAATGATATCATGTCCAGCGATGAAAGGGCTCGCAGATTTCTCGAATAATGACACCTTATCCGCATCGTCCACCGCAAAAATGTCAAGCCATGTGTCAGAACAAGCTGTATGATGGGTAGGACCAGAGTCCACAATATGTAAGGACAAACTTGACATAATCTCTCGTAAATACTGCGCTTCAGCATTCGTCGACACTAGATTGCAGTTCAGATCGCCGCTAATAATTATGTTCTTATAAAGATGTGATAATCGAATAAATGACTCAACAAACTCATGTAGAAAGAGGCCCTTGGGTCTCCTATAAACAGACGCAAGAAGCACTGAACCGCCACCCGACAGACGCACTTCGACAAGAAGAAACTCAGGCTCATTAACGCATACATTACTAGAAGTAGCTAATATCCTAGCCTTGAGTGATTTATGCACATAACATGCCACTCCACCACCAATCCGACTCACTCGATCATGACGGATAAGGAAGTAATCATCCAAGGCAACTAGTTCGTCTGAGACGTTAGCATTCAGCCATGTCTCAGATACCGAGATTATATGATAGAAGTGATTATGGAAATAAGATCGAATAAAGTCAATATGACCGCGAAGAGAGTTCGCATTAAAATGTGCAATGCTGAAGTGCGAGGTTCGCAAAACCGGACGACGTAATGATACAGAGGATGGTGAGCAATCGGAATGTACACGTCAAGCAAGCAAGTCAAGATCAGTACTAGTATTAATTTGTATTACGGGCCCGCCATCTGACTGCCTGACCCGAACGCGTCCATCCTTCACCCATACGTACTTAAACGACCTTTCCCTGGCAACGCGTTTCGTTTGCTGAAGCAAGCTATAGGTCTCCTTCGGAAGCAGTTTGTTGACGTGAACTGCCCGTTCAGAGTCATTATCGCAAACCTCTCTCTGTTTAAGAGTGCGCCGAGCGCGCTTTTTGGCAATGCATATATCACGCACAGCCGAAGAAGCTAAGGTAACAACAACCGAAGAAGAAGACGGCGGTGATGTGCCAGATGCTTCAGAGGGAGGCTTACGTTTGACAGCTCTGACATCAAGAACATGACAAGTTAGATCAGGAATGTCAAGAGCAGCGAATACATTGCGCACGCACACCGAGGGAGCAATAGACAATACACCAGGCAGACCCGATATTATCAGCTCATTCTCAGATTGAGTCGGCGGAACAGGCAAACGACCATGATCACCTCTCAGCTCACGGATCTCACTCCTAAGAGCAGCGCATTGCTGCTCCAACTCTACAATACGATTAGTATTGGACTCGACATTGCTTGCAATACAACTCAGCTTGTCAAGCTTATCCATAAGTTCGCTGTTAGTACGCCTCTGCTCTTCAACAAAAGCAGAAAAACGACTATTCGACTCACGCAACTGCTCATTCAAGTTAACGCTAGACGCACTAAGCTGTTCCGTTAAGCGAAGCAAAAGCTCATTGGTAGAGCCGTCACACCGTGATTGCGACTGAGCCTGCGATGGAGTACCGGTGCACACAGGAGAAGCCATCACGTCAAAGCTGAAAGACGGTGAAGTATCACTAACCTCAGGAGTAGAAGGTAACTTTAAAAACGACAATGATCTGCAGCAAGTGTCAGCTTTTATGGTAACCGCGTATGGCTTGACGCAACCCGGATGAAATGATCTCCCACACTTACACTCAACAGAGGCAGTCGCAATCGTTTTTTTGCACCTAGTGCACGCACTCTCTCTCAACATACCTAACAAACCACACACACGGTATATGTCAGAGAGACGAAGAGTCAAGCTGCAACACCCACGCAAAAGGTGATCGCACGAAAATAAAATAAAGTACAGTGAAGAAGCAATTCACAATTTGCAACATACGCAGACTCATGCATAAAAGTATAAAACAAGCATAATTGGTAGCAACAACTGATAATATAATGCCTCAAAATAATAAAATTTTGAAAGCGTGAACAAATCTTGACTTAATCGATCTATGTTAGGCAAAAAAGTAAAGTCGCCGAGCTGTATATGCTACAAGATAATGCGTACCAACAAATCATAGGATCACTATGCAATAAGAGATTAACTCAATTTGAGAACGATAACGTATCAGTACCCAATTCACATCACACACATCTGCACTGTGAAGGCGCCGCTAGTGACAACTCGAGGTCACACGACGATCAATCGACACGTCAATATCGATGTTAAACTCGATGGCACGCCGGGACAGCAGGTGTAGGAAAGAACAGATCAACGGCAGGCACATGCGCAGAGAGATCGACATCCTCCATGGAATATCGATATTAAACTCGATGGCACGCCGGGACAGCAGGTGTAGGAAAGAACAGATCAAACGGTAGGCACATGCGCAGAGAGATCGACATCCTCCATGGAATGATTCTCAGAAATGATATGCAATAATGAGAAACACTCGCCGTGCAAACAGCAAAGATCCAGCGATAGCCCGATGCACACTGCAACCGCACGTGACGAGCAACAAAAAGACTTGCATAAACCTGCAACAAATGAGCCCAAAGGCAGCTTGCGGCAGTAATATGTCCACTTATGACAGGAGCAATACAGCGGACGTGCACACACCGTACTCACCAGAGAGAGAGAGAGAGAGAGAGAGAGAGAGAGAGAGAGAGAGA